TAAATTCCAACTCCCAAGTCTGTTTTTCATGTTCTTTAGCTCGTTTGGAAGATCTTGACATCCCCCATCCACATATATCATTACCACCACCATTAGCCTCCATCAAAAAAATCATCATAAAAGCACCCACCTTCCGCATTTGACTGATTTTGAGTTGTGGTTTCCGTTTCCTAAGGTGTTTCAGCTACTTAGGAACGTGTGACATTGACATCACCGCCATTCATCATCGCCTTGGAGTCGTCTTCGCCAACAAGCTTCACCATTGACACCGCTAACCGTAAGAAAGGACGGTAACCTCGACGACACTTACTTCATTTCCTTGCTTTTGCATTGATAACCCGAGCCATTTTGCGTCACTTACTCATCGAGACTAGCGAGTTGAGAATTGTCGGGCCACGCTATTGTGCACCATAGTGATCTTGCTATCATCATTGTGCCCTAAGTCTCTCCCGTGCATATCGTACATACTTGTCTCATATCATATTTGTCTCGAGCATCAAGCATAGAACAAAAAAGCTTTTAAGCAAAAGAGGAGAAACAAAGAGCTTGTAAGCAATAGCATTGAGCCATTTTGCATCGATATATCATCTTGGTCACCACATATATAGCATAGTTGGGATTGAAGATGTCACGTTTCTCTCATAGGTAGGTGCACAAGCGTATCTTGCCCATTTGAGCAATTGAGCTAGCGTCTCTCTAGAATCCATACAACAAGAGCATTTTCCGTGGTTACACATTTTGAGCTCACTCCTTGGTTGTGCGAATCGCATCTATCGTCCGTGTGTGTGTTCCTAGTGATATTCTTGGATTTGATCTATTTGCTTTACTTGCAATTTTGTGAACCTTCTCAACCTTCTCGATATCTTGACTAACATTTGCTTGAAATTTTTGTGCCACCGCCCTAACCAAGCTCCTCCATAAGCTTTACTTGTCTAGGTGTGAGAAACAAACCCGATACCAATTATCCTATTATGGCATTACATTGAGCAACACTTGATACATCCACAATCCTCGGAAAAGGTAACTTCTGTATTGTTCTCTCATTTTCCTACTCACCCACTTGGTTATGATGGATAGGCCAAGTTCTTCGGCGAACCCACTTTTCGAGGAGTGATTGCTCCCTGACTATAGTGCCAGAAAAGCTCCTGTCTGCTAGGACTATGTCGGTATTTCCCCAAAGAGGAAGGGATGATGTAGCACAACGAAGGTAGGTATTTCCCTCAGTGATGAAACCAAGGTTATTGAACTAGTAGGAGAACCAAGCAACACAACGTAAACAACACCTGCACACAAATAACAACACCTCACAACCCAACGTGTTAAAGGGGTTGTCAATCCCTTCCGGGGTACGGCGCCTCAAGATAGGCAAAACGGACGTGAGGAAATTGTAGTAGATTGAGTTGAACGCCAAACAAAGTAAATAAGAATAAATTGCGGCAAGGTATTTTTGTATTTTTGATTTAGTAGATTTGAATAAAAATGCAAAGGAAAAGTAGATCGCAAGCAAATATATGAGAAAGAAGACTCGGGGGCCGTAGGTTTCGCTAGTGGCTTCTCTCGAGAAAAATAGCAAACGATGGGTAAACAAATTATTGTTGGGCAATTGATAGAACTTCAAATAATTATGACGATATCCAGGCAATGATCATTACATAGGCATCACGTCCAAGATTAGTAGACCGACTCCTGCCTGCATCTACTACTATTACTCCACACATCGACCGCTATCCAGCATGCATCTAGTGTATTAAGTTCATGGAAAAACGAAGTAATGCAATAAGAACGATGACATGATGTAGACAAGATCCGTTTATCTATTGCATAGATATAGATCTCATCTTTTTATCCTTAGTAGC